ACTGTCATTATTGTTATATAGAAAATTTTTGTTTTTAATTCTTTTAACTTTAAAATTTGATTCATGGTGCTGGACATACTAACTAAAATCAAATATCAAATAATTCACATTCAAAAACTAATTCATAATATTCATATATCATTTCGACATTTTTATAAACATTCGTATAGTGGTAGTACAATTAAACTTTAGGTTTGCGTTGTGAGTAACCTATGCAAAAGGAAATAATCAATAACCCCAAATTCAATTAAACTCCATGTTTCTTAAAAGCCTTCCGGCTCAAACAAATGGAGGGACATGACAGACCACAGTAAAATATACACAACATAAATGCACAAATGCAATTAAATTTTAAACACACATTTATTAAATTCTTGACTATTTTATATAATTAAATAATGGATAACTGATAAGTAATCCTACCACTATTTTTTTCTAAGCCAAAAATAACACATAATACTACACCAAATTACAGCTTACATTAATTAAAATTATTATTATTTTTTTTTTTTTTTCAAAATTAAGTAGGTAGGTGTAACAAAATTTAATCCTCCTAAAACTGGCATTCACTTGAAATTATAAATAACTTCTCAATTTTTCTAACTGTACTATTTAATTTATATAAGTAATAACAATATACAGGTAGATAAATCATTATTAACTGTTCTGCATTCGGGAATACTAAGAAAGAGAGAGAGAGAAAATATACTTAAAAATTTCACTCACAGATGGAAAACAGTTTTTCCTGATTAGCCGGATCCTTAGTGTCCAATCCACATGGAAATGGCCACTTTTCTCTGTGACCCTTTCTGAAATCTAAAATCATAGGGATCAAGAGTTTTTAAGTTTATGCAGGCCTTTTGCACGTAAATAGTCATTAGGATTTTCATTCATACGGACGATATACGAGGGCTATCCAGAAAGTAGATTACGTTTTGGAATAAAAAAATAAACAAAGTATAGGAAACAAATTTTATTATATACAGATGAAAGCCACACTCAAATACTACTTTTCTACATAGTCACCATACAAATTAAGGCATTTATCGTAGCGATGTACGAGCTTGGAAATTCCTTCGTCGAAAAATTCGGCCGCCTGCGCCTTCAACCACTTCGTTACCTCTTCTTGCCTTCCATCTTGCACAAAACTTGTGGTAACCAAGCTTTTCGCTGATGATTTCGTGCAACAAACTTCGCGAAATTTGTGGAAAACTCAAAGAAAGTTCCGTTATTGTGAAATTTCGATTTTCACGGACTTTAGCATCGACTTTTTCGAGAAGTTCGGCGGTCACTATGCTGGGTCTCCCACTTCGATCTTCGTCGTGAACATTGGTTCGGCCATTTTGAAATCTTATGACCCACTGACGCACTCCACCTTCAGTGATAATGTTGTCCCCATACACTTCACGAAGCTGCCGATAGATTTCTATCGGTTTACAGTTTTTTGCAGTCAGAAACCTTATTACTGAGCGCACCTCGCAGCTCGCGGGATTTTTAATTAACGCAGACATTTCAAACCGTCACAGTATCTGAACGGAGCACAGCACGAACCTCTCACTAGCACGGCTAGATGCAGACTGAGCTGCGCAACGCTCTGACCCCAAGATGGCCGCGCTAGCCCCGCCCCTAGCGGACACAGACGGAAATGTAATCTACTTCCTGGATGGCCCTCGTACATCCGTTTTTTAGCACAATCACGTGCATCATCAAAGCGGCGAGGCAACATTTATGCTGAATGTTTTGGAAAAAGGCTCTTGGAGATTAACCGGCGATTCAGGTGAAGAGAGAAACTCTGGGCTAAATTTTCTTGGTAGATTTTTCTCTATACATCTCAATCAGCTCTCAGTAAAAATGCTCTTTGTAGCTCGTGCACATTTCTCCTTACATCACGCAGGAAAATGTTCCTTGCATCTCGCACAAAACTTTTAAACATCCCGCAGAAAAAGAATTCTCTAAGAAAAACGCAACCCAAGTCCTCTTGCCTCGGCAACCGGCCGCACAAGAAAGCCGGCAGCAGGGCAAAATGCCCCTCGTTCTTTCTTTCTCTTTCACATCACGGCTGCTCAAAATTCACTCAAATCCGACTCCACTGCAACCATCACCGCAGCCCGCTTGTACAAGTCGCTCGCCCCGCAAAACTTTCTGCTTCTCCTTTTCCTTTTCGCTCAAAAATCTGAATCAGAATGATCTCTAGCCTGGTGCAAGCACCCAGGAAAACTCGGTTTCTCCGCCTCTGTGAGTTCATAGGCTTTCAAAAAAAAAAAAAAAAAAAAAAAAAAAAAAAAAATCATAAAATTAAATCTTACGAATGCCGGAATTTTATGTTATCAAAATTGAGAAAATGACACACCCATGACGAATCAAACACCAGAAAATCTGACAATGAAATCCGAAAAACATCTGTACTCACAACGTGAGAAAAAAAATAGACCCCGCAACTAACAAGCGAAACTAACTTTATGAGATCTAATTACCTAACCCCCACTGTCTTGAAGTACGCAAAACTGCAAACTTTAACAAAGCGACAAGACGAACGATTTCTGTTTCACACGCATTAGCTAAAAGGGCGACGCATGACTCCCAACTGCCTCCATTGTTAGTAAAAGGCTATAACCAATAAACCAGATGTGTGTCCTCGCAACCGTCTCTCGCCTTTGTTACAATTCCTATTCAAGAATAATGAGTTAAATAAAACCTTAAGAGCTTAAAAATACTTTTTTCCGGATTAAAATACACATGAATACAAATAAAAATATTAGAATAATAATAACTTAAAACGCATATTAATAATTGAAATTCGCGACATAACATTATAATGATGACTTCAGCTGTATCATCTTCATTAAACATCTTTTCACGTATTCTATTAATTGGGAAATTTCGTTTGGCGTATTCACTTGGCTCCAGGTGTCACCAACTTAGTTCGGTTTCTTTCCTGATGCAACCACATTTTTCATCTAAGTATAGTTTTATGATCTGAAGTTGCCATGAGATGAACAAGTGCCTATCCTATTTCTTCAAGAAAAAGTCATGCTGTACAAAGAAAGACTGTGTTTGAAGGACCACCTCATGGAATTAATATCTGACTTGAAGCTGAAATGGCAATACTTTCTGCCATTTCTACTTTTTACATATTTTGCAGTCTGTTAAGTGAAAATGTTTGGAGCATAGTCATTATAAAGGAAGACTTCAATTATATCATCTTCAAAATTTCACTTTTACTTGCAATGTTATATGAAAATTTGCAAATTTGCAACTATCATCATCATCATGATAAAATATGATAGCTTGGCTATAGGTAGTCTCAGGTGCATTTTCAGCACCCTACAATGTAACACAGTTGATGCCTCATAAGTAAAGTATATTCATAATTCAAAATAAAATGCATTTTTAATTGTTGTTTTTAAGCAGATTAACTTAAATGATGCCCTTAAGAAATTGCCACCATAGGTAAATAACTGTTTATGGCCTATACAAACATTTGTAAAAATTGCTGAAAAACCTCAAGACTTTACTGTACATTATTCTTCAGATTTTATATTAAAATATTTCAAGAATTCTGGAATGATCTTACTGCTGCATCAATTTTCAAAAGGATACTTTATTTCTGCATTAGTGTGTGCAAAATTCTGACTCTCATTGGCTGACTGATGCCTATAAAATTTTGAGGGAAGAATAAAATTGAAATATTATCTGTTAGTAAATTTTAAATTTTGTTATATAATATTAATAATTATAGACTGAGCACATTCAACTCCAAACAAACAGTAATCTGTTGGGTTCAGTTATTTTGTAAAGAATTAGATAAAATTTAAAAAATGCTACCCTTCCACACAGACAGAACCATTTGAGAATTGAAATGAAAATGTGATTCTCTAGCTGGTAGGTATTTAAAGCCAAAACAACATGCAGATGATTCAGTATTACCGCTAATAATGATATTTTTTTTTGTGAGAGGACTAAGTTAATTGGAACAATACTCAATTTATGCATTTGCTTTTGCTCGAGTATCATATCTGTTCTTACACTGTCTAAGATAAAGAATATGTATATATAAATGTTTTTAAAGAGTGGGTTGTGGAAGATCAGGATATTTGTTCGATGTTATGCAAATTGTATTTCTTTCTTTGTACCGAGGAGCGGCGCAGACGCAAATTTGTTAGGTTTTTAAAGCTCGCATTTAGAGCTTTGAGGTTGCTGTGAATTACTGGAGTTTCAACTAAGCGGAGGTTCTTCTGAGTTTGTGTTGGTAAGCCGCCACTGAAGTCGGAGTTTGTGTGGTCTTCGCCGTTCCTCTTCGCCTAACTTACTATTTGAAAGTCAATAAAGAAGTTTCGGTCAAGGTTAGGAGTCTGAGGTTTTTTGAGTTCTATACTGAAGTAATATCAAGTTAATTTACAGTCCACTATTTTTAAACAACAGAACGTACAATATTAGACCATTCCAGTTATTAAATGTTTAGATTTCAGACTTTGTTCTGTATTGTCTTCAAAAGTTTATTACAATATTTAAATTTTTTTCTGCTGAAGCTGCATTGGGAAAACAAAATTTAATGCACATTCTTCACTCATTTACATTTGCCATTGTGAAAAATTGCAGATTTTTTTTTATTGGAAGTTAATTTATTTGTAAACAATAAAAAAGAAATGCAGATTGTTTGCCATATGTCAGTGAAAGCTTAGAGAACTTGTGTCCAAGTTTTGAAATGATAATATCTGATATTCTTTTATCATAGTAATATGAAATGGGTCAGTTTTTCCAATTGAGCCAGCTTCAGTAGACGATAATGTTTCGTAATGATGAATAACCTACTAGTATATCATTAATCTTGCTACATAGCAATGCTACCATAGATTATTATGGTACTGATTTTATTAGAATTTCAATTCTCATAATTATCTTTTAGTTATTAATTATGTAGTAATATTTATGCTGTCTATGATTATTTTTTCATTTAATTATATATATTGTTTATTGTCTTTGTTCTGCTTTTTGTATAGTTTGTTCCAATATTGAATGTGCCACTCCAGATGATTTATCTGAACTGAATGATTTGCTCTTTGTTAAACCAAGTGAGGTGAGTTTTTCTCTTTGTATGTACACATACTTTCATGTGCAAAATTCCTGAGAGAATTCTTCCTGAGAGTAAATTTAGGAACGGACTTTTTTGCCTGTGAACTTGAGTTTTATGTGAGCAGTCAAGACTTTCTTCTCTTCACAAGAATGATCTAATTTTGCGTGCAAGGACAGTTCGCGTGGTGAAACCTCTTCAGTGACAAGTGTCAGTGTGTCAGAAGGGAACGCCGGAGGAAACGTGATCTAGTGCCGCAAAATAGTGAAATTTCCCAGAAGAATATCCAAGTTAGTGCCAGGACAGTCAATCGAAGGCGTCTTCAAAATTTAGTGAGTACCATTTTTGTGATTTTGGAGAAGTTATGCCAGTTATTCGAGACTAGGTTTATTTTGGATATAGTTCTGTTTTTGGGAATCAAAAGTTTTCTGGTGGTTATTGAAAGTTAAGCTTGTGGTTACTGTTGCTAATTGAAATTTAATTGTTTGCTCTATTGTTTTAGTAACTGTTTAAATTGTGTGAAGTATTGTAACGGTATGCTTTAGAAAAATTTAGTTTTTAAATCAGTCCTGAGTTAGAGGACAATATTTATATAGTTGATATAGAGCAGGAAAAGGTTGCCTCTTAATTAGCATTTTTTTAATATACGTTTTGTATGTAGGCATAGGTATTATCATTAAGTGTTGTAAGACAATTTGTGTTCAAAATTGTTAGGAAATTATTCAGTTCTGGAGAGATAGACCTGTTGTTGTTTTTGTGTTATTGTATTTCGGGGTAGGTTATTTTTCTTTAATTTTCCATAATGGGTGAGTTTATGAGGAAATTTACTAAAGCTCTGTTATTAGAGTTAGCGGAGGAGTTTGAAACAAATGTGTCTCAGGCAAATAGAGTAAGAGAAATTAGGCAGGCTATTCTAAATGCCGAGGACTATGAAGAAGAAGCGGTGAAAGAATACGCGGCAAGAATTTGGGCTGCGGCTGAGCAGAAAAAGGTAGAAGAAATAGCCAAACAAGAGAGAGCTGATCGGGAACGTGAACAAGAGAGAACAGATCAGGAACACGAAAGAGCAGAGCAGAACAGGAGCGTGAGCGTGTTTGTGAAAATTGGAAAGGAGGAATGTGCTTCAGACTAATAGCCTAGTTTCCACGGTTTCGAAAGTTGAACAATCTAGAGGAAAAAAGGTTAATTTGAAAGATCTAGTACCGCGTTTTGAACCGAGTAATATAGGTATTTCATTATTCTTTATGCTATTTGTGAAACAAGCTCAAAAAGGGAACATTAATGAGATTGATTGGGTCTCGCATTTAATTCCTTTATTACCTCACGATGTAGCCCAGTTAATAGTGAAAGAAACAGCAGATAAATCGGATGATTATCAGCATGTTAAGAAATTACTCATGCAGAGATTCAAGCTTAGTTCTTGGGCACTAAAAACAAAACTTGAAGAAAATTCTAGAATGGTTATGGGTGGATTTAGTGTATGAATTGAGAGTGTATTTAGAGAATTGGTTGGATTCAGTGGAAGTTCAAGATTTTGAAAGTCTTAAGGAACTTATGCTCACTGAGCAAATTAAGCGGCGAGTCCCTTTAGAAATAAGAGAGCACTACTTAGACAATTGGGAAGAATTTAAAACAGCTTCCATTTTAGCAGAGAAATGCGACAAGTATGAGGCTTTGCGAAGAGATACGAGGAAGTTAGAACAGAGAGCGGGGTTAAAGAAACCATTTGAGAAAGATAGAGAGTGGTATGTAAATTCCAATTGTAGTGATAATCAGAAAAGTAGTGGTCATCAAAGAATTAAATCAGAGGAGCATAGAAAAGTGGAGGCTCCTAAAAAAAAAAAAAAACAAGTTTTCAATGAAGCAGGTTTCGAAAAAAAGCGGAAAATAAGGTGTTACCAATGTGGAAAGGACGGACATATCTGACCTAACTGTCCATCGCTGGAAAAGAATAATGCTAATCTGGTAAATAATCTAGGAATGGAGAGTTCAGGAAAATGTTTTGAGCTGTATTTCAAGAAAGCAGCTGAGAGATACTGGAGCTGGAATAGATCTGTGTAATAGTACTTGGATTAATACTAGTGACTTATTAGGGGAAATTCTATGGGTGAAACAGCCTTTGGACACAGAATGTAAATGTTTACCTTTGGCGAAAGTCACCATTGAAGGTGATTTTGGTGTGGTCACCACAAAGGCAGCGGTTACTCCGGTAGAGTTAGATAAAGAGTACTATTTGTTAGGGAATAAAACTGCACAGTTGATTGAGGAAATTAGGGAACGACCGTTTCTCTTGAATGTTGTGGAGACTCGTAGTCAGGCGCATGCGCGCAGAAGTTTAGAGAGAGCGAGTGCAAAAGTCTTAGATTCCAGATCGAAAGAAGAGAAAGAGATAGAAAGTGAAAGGGTCGTGAATAAGGAGCATTCGGAAGAAAGGAAGTTAACCAGTAATACGGAAGAGGCAATTAAAATTCCAGACATCAGTTTAGAAGAAAGGTCTATCCTTGCGGATGTTTCGCCAGCAGAATTCTCGGAAGCACAAAAAACTTGCACTAGTTTAGTGGCCCTGTGGAAGAAAGGGGAAAGTGAAAATGAAAAAGAGTTTATAATTGTCAAGGAAAGACTATTCAGAGTGACAGGTTCTAAAAAAGGGGAAGATAAGCGTCAGCTGTGTGTGCCTCTCGTTTTTAGGAAAGGGATCTTGAAGTTATGGCACGAGGAAATCTCTGGTCATTTAGGGATAACAAAAACCAAGGATAGAGTTTTGACACACTATTTCTGGCCTAATTGCTACCAGGAAATTGAAGAATTTGTGAGGACGTGCGATATTTGTCAGCGTGTAGGTCACAATAGGGATAAAAAGAAAGCTCCTATGAAGATTGTGCCCGTTATATCAGATGTGTTTAGCAGATTAAATATTGATGCAGTAGGACCTCTGATCCCTAGTTCACGTGAAAATAAATACTTACTTATGTCTATTTGTGTTGCTTCCAAATATCCAGATGTCATTCCTGTACAGAATTTAAGCTCTAAAAGTGTGATTCAAGCCTTGATATAAATCTTTTCTAGATCTGGTTACCCTAAGGAAATTCAATGTGATTTGGGTAGATCGTTTACCAGTGAACTTACATCTGAGTTTTTTAGCAAGTTCGGAATTAAGGTGTATCATTCTTCTGTGTGTCACCTTCAAAGCAATTCTGTTGAAAGGTTGCATTTCACCTTGAAAAGGGTATTGAAAGCGTTTTGCTTGGAAAGCGGGAAGGACTGGGAAGAATGTTTACCATGTGTTTTGTTCGCCTTCAGAACTGTTAGCCATGAGAGCACAGGTTTTAGTCCCTGCAAGTTAGTACATGGAAAATTTTGAGAATGCCTCAAATGATCATGTATGAAAACTGGCTAGAAGAAGAAAGTTCAAACCCCACTGTGGTCGAGTATGTTCTAGACTTAATAAGCAGATTAAAGAAGTGTCAGGAGCTGGCTGTAGAGAGGATGAAAGAGTGTCAGAGTAAAAGGAAACTCTGGTATGATCGCAACGCTGTTACGAGATGGTTTAAGGTCAGAGATCTCGTGCGTGTTTAAGCCACGTCTAAACCAGACAGAATGGCTATAAACTGGATAGGGCCAGGTGAAGTAACTAGTGTGATTTCCGAAACCAATTATACGGTAGAGATTCCGGGTAAACGTAGCAGTGACACCATTTGCCGTGTCAATTTGATTGAACCTTTTCATCAGCACCCTGAGTTTGTGAATCTGATGATGGAGGAGGTTGTGCAGAATATCGAGAAAGAGGCTGACTTTTCTTTTCTTTTCTTCTTCTTCTTCTTTTTTTTTTTTTTTTTTTTCTCCTGGCTGACCAAATGCAGAGTGATTTCAGGGAAATTATAATTGTCATAAAAGAGTTTTGTTGCGTTTTGGAATTATATTTTTGCAGATTCAAAATTGTTCACGTTGTTTGTTTCCTATTCAAAATGGTTAGATTCAAATGTTTTGTGTTAAGTATTATAATTTTGTAAACTGAAAAGGTACTTTGTGTAGATTCAAAATTTAATTTTTTTTTTTTTGTTTGTTTGTTTATGGTATGTAGAAATAAGTGCAGAGTGATGTAACTGGCTTCTCTATTATCACTTAAATGGATACCACTTGTGTTTTGAAAGCAGTGAAAAGTATTTAGAATTTTTCCTTCCATAGTCAAGAAAAATTCCTTTATGAGAGGAGGAGTTGTGGTAAGGTTGCATAAAGGAAGAAGAAACTGAAGATTAATATGGACAAGGATGTCTCATGAGCATAAGATGAAAATTATTATTATTTTAGCTTCCGAATACATTTTCAGTAGTTGTTATTAAAATAATTAAATTGTTGGCAATGTTAAAAAATGCAAGCTCAAGAGCCATGTATTGTTCTTGCACGTAAAATGTATAGAATTTGATTTTACAAAAAAGATTTAGGTTTTTCTGTTGTTGATTGTATGTAGCCATGTTTTTGAGCATTCAATAAAATTTTCATGTGGTGTTCCATCATTAACATTTTCATTGGTGTTCAACACCACAGCATTGATGCATTAACACTACATCACATATCCAACATAATGCTTGCCCAAACCAATACCCCTCCATTACCTTATCTCTAGAACCACGTTACTTTCTATATACCTAGAACTGCAGTGCGAGTGAGTTTGCTCCTAGACGGAAAACACCTAAAAATATGCACAAGCAATTACTTTAATTAACTAAACCATTTTGTTTTTATGTAACAATCAATTTTTCTCAGAATTTACTTTGCATATTGTATATAAATCAATGAAAATTACCTAAATTTTTAGAAAATCATATTTAAAATTTTATTGAGTTTAATAACATGTCTTTTAAACAAAATAAAACATAATTTTTCTAATTTTGATGGAAAAACAGAGTATATAATTTAAATCAGTTTAGACATAATTTTAGAGAAAAAATAAAAATTTTTCCAGTTACTTATTAGTTTTACAGGTTTTTAAAAATCCAATTTATTATACACATTATGCACAAAATTTTGTAATAAGTTTTGTGCATTTATCACAAATGGCTGCTTTTCCTTTTGAACAAATATCTTGGGTTTTATTTTCACATTTTGAACTGTGGCATCAGACTGCTTTATGCGTAACTTGTAGTTTTCCGTCGTTTTTAGTGGTTTGCTATATGCCCATATGTCACCTTTTTTTGTCCGGAGAGAACAAACTTTTCTCTCAGTTCTTCTACTAAGTCTTGAATGAATTGCCATCTATTAATAGATTTTCCAGATATGGCTTTGTAAAAAACCCAGGCATTGATAGCAACAAGATCCAAAATATTATAAAGAACCTGCACATGCCACCTACGGGAAGCAGATGTGACAATATACTTCATTGCCATTTGGTCAGTCGCGTCCACACCGAATTTAGTTGCGTTGTAGTAAGCAATTGTATCAGGTAATTTTGTCAGACTATTTATAATTTCTACAGTTGGGTGAAGACTAGGTAGCAACAAAACATTTTTATCATTTTTCTCTTGGTAAACATTTAGAGTGATGTCTTTATGTGTTAGTACTGAAGTCGCATGGAATGCGGATTTTCACATTTTTACAGAGACTGGTATTTCTCTTCTTCAGCATTTTACTGTTCCTACAAGGCTGGTGTCAGATTTCAATGCCTCTGCAAGCTTCAGTGACATTTCTACCTTCGTTATCATATGGACTTAATAGTCGTAGTACTACATGCTCATAAAAAGAAACTTTGGATGGACTTTGGTTATGTTTCCCAAGATAAGGAAATCCATTTATTAGATATTTTGAGTCAGCATTTGCAGCTAACCAGAACTTGATTCCAAATTTATTCAGATTCCAGTTCAAGTCCATTTGCACAATATATCCGACATGCATGTAAAATTGTTATAAAAGCATCCATTTCTTCTACTGTTATATTCCGTACAGTTTCATGAATCTGTCGATGAGCTTCATCTTCAGTGCATTTCTTTTTTATGCTTCAATATCCCTTCATCTAGGAAAAGTCTCCACGCACTTGACGGACTGTTGTTTATAATATTGCATTTACCATGTGTTGTTGGGCTCCGAACTTCCTTCAAAATATTTTACTTTTCTTACTTTATCATTTGTTCCTAACTGTACAACATCCCAAACTGTCCCATCTTTCCCAACTTTTTCCAACTTTGAATGTTACTGCTGATTTCTTTTCAGATTTCCTTGAGTGTATGCATCTGTTCTTGGAATTTTTTTCTTTTTCTTTTTTATTTGATAAATTAGCATCATTATTGCAATGAGAAGGTCCAGCGATTATTAGAGCACTACCAGAGTCATCATCACTTTCATTTTCTTCATCTGAATTCGAATTTTTTTCTTTAGCAGGCAGCTATTCATCCTCGCTACTCAAATCGAAACACTGTTATCATTATCATCATGTTCTGAATTGTTTTCAGATAATTATTGTAAATATTCCAAAGCTTCCTGAAAAGTTTAAACAATCTTGGAATGATGTTGTCACATCCTACCTATACTAAATATAGAATGAAAGCAACCTCAAAAAGTCTTTCGAAGTATTCGTTGTAATTTTCCACTGCATTCAAACGCAGTTCGTGTTTCGAACCTTGGCCGAAAACCACATTATTTCTTTTCCTGGTGCATTCCATTTAGGAATTAGAGGGTGAGGCAGATATAGCATTTACATCTGAGAAAATGCATCTGTTTTTCGTCATTTAGGCATATACATTTCTTACGGGTCAAATTGACCCGCTTCGTGGTTCTAGGTATAAGTGTTAATAATCAGAAATTTATTTGTTACAAAGTTTCAAATTTGGTAAGTTATTGTTTACCTTAAATTGTTAAAAGTCATGAAAGGAATTTGTATTTCAATCAATACTTTTCTCGCGGTGACAAATTAAACATCTGTTTGGGTCAAATTGGTTCCACAGTTCTAGTGTTAATGGTCCTTTTTGCTAATGAGGAAAGGATAATGTTGTGTTCTAAGCTTTCTCCAGATACAGACATGCTGAGAATCAGTGTCCAGGCTGAATCACAACTGTAAAAAGCACGATGCTCCACTGAACTCTAGTCCAAAGCACATGTTGTCTGCACCATGCTAAATGTGTTGTCTTGTGTGCTGAGAATGCAAACAGTGGGTATTTTGGCAGCCCTAGCTCTTGAAGCCTAGGGCAACTAAAACTCGGGTTCCATTGGCAGCACGCAGATCACGGGAGAGCTTGGTGCTGTAGGAATCCTATGTCATCGTTCCGAAAGTGCCAAATAATGATCCCTCATTAGTCATTGTAGATCTTGATCAACCTTCATCAGGTCTTCTCAGTAGAGATCCAGTATCCTGAAACTCTTTCCACTAATTGCAGACAATACTTATCTGTAGCCACCTGCACTTGTAATAAGTCAACCTCTTATCTACTCACAATTCTACATTTCATTCTATCATCTATATATTTGATATTCATTTTACCTGATACCTTTCAAAATTTATCCAGATTTTGCAAGAAATGCAGCAAATGTTGTGAGGGAATGCAAGCACGCAAATTGCTGAAAAGCTCTCGTGTGCTTATATCACCTTCACAGACACACATATGTACACTTATGTATTTGACTCTAACTTGACTTTTTATGTATGCTTATAAATATATGCATATGCATATATAGTTTTACTTTTTAAATCTAGTTTGGAAATGTTTGTTTACTTTTCCTCTTTTAGCTTGCTGTACATTTCTACCTAGTTTCGAAACTTTATTTTACATTAACACAAAATTTCATCAGATGTATTATGATTGTAATTGAAGAAATGTATACAGAATAAAGTTCTCTCTAATTTTGTAATTTTCTTTTATCTTCATCTAAAATCATGTTAATTTTTTATGGATTTTTTGTAATTTTTAGGAAAACTACTACAAAGTTCATTTTTTAAAATAAGTTTTACTGTTCTTTGTAGAACTTGCCATAAATTGTATAAATTTGGCAGTTCATTATCAGATGTCTATTTTAATAATGGGCTTTTGGCTGATATTTGGGTAACCATTTGAATCCAATCTTTTTATTACATCAAAAATGTGTTCTTCCTTTTTATGCATTACTAGATTTAGCGACTTATTTACGTTTTAAAATTTTGAAACCAGTTGGACTATCAAAATTTTGATTGGCGATATTGTAAATTTCATAACATTGTAACATAATAATTAATATTTTTGATACAATTAAAATGACAGTAATATACTTAATTATTTTAGGGATATTAACATTGGAATAAAACATTTGTGTTTCCCTTTTCCTGTTTTAAAGTATTTTGCCTTTCCTGTTTGGTAATTTTTGAATATTTTGTTGAAACACAGTTTTTGAAATTTAGCAAAGCTAAAAAACATTTCATTCAATATATGAAAATAAGATTAATTTGTGTAATTTTCTTTCCCGACTTCCTTTTTTTGCTGTTGCTTTTGTGTGTGGCTTATGTTTTATAATTTTCCCCACTCCATTCAGAAATGTGTCAGCTTTTTCACTTTAAAAGTCTCATTATACTTTTTCTGAATTTTTTTTCTGTTGAAGTTGGCAAATATGCTAAAAAAATATCTGCTCTTGCTTGTGAAATGCATTGCAAACTTAATTTAGTTGAAGTGTTGTTTAAGTGATCAAAGTCTAATAAGGTTGTAACATTATGTTCATTTAAATACGTTTATTAATTATCATTTAAATTTGTGTTTAGTTAAATAATTAAATAAAATCATACTCTTTCCTTTTGTGAAACACTAAATTTCTGCTGTATCAAATTCTATCTTTGCAATTTCAAAGTTGGGATTAAAAGGTATAGTTTTTGTACCTCATAAATGCATGTATTACTTATAACACAGATTAAGATTAGCAGTCAGCTTGCTGCAGTCTTTATGTAAGGTGTTTGAAAAAAGTGTGGCTGCGGATGTTATTTCCTTAAATATTGATCCTGCCTTTATACCATTATAATATGTATAACATTTTCTGATATTTATTTTGATACAGAAAGACCAGAATTTATATAATGCCTCATAATTTTTTTTTTTTTTTAATAAAATCTTGTAAAAGTTTAGTTATTCAGTTCAAAAATTTGTCATATCTGAATTCTACAATTCTTATTTTTGTCTGTTTGTATTAAATAAATATGAAATAATATGATAAAATATTGTTAATGGTTTTCACTACTCAGAAGAATTTTTTTCTTCCAAAATAATCAGCAATACATAATTTGGAAGAACACGATGTGCGACATTTAAGACTAGAGTAATTCTTTGATAGTTAATGATTCAAAATTTTCATTTCCTAAAATTTAACTCCTAAACTAAAATTACCTGTGTTTAATGTACGTGTTTCTACCAAGAGAAGATACTAGCCATTTTGGCAGAGATTGGTTAATAATTTTTTCTGTCAATGATAAAAATCAAATTTTCCTTTGTGAAAATTTTTTCTTATGTTGAAAGTAGTTATATGTAATGTTTTATTAACGATGAACATAATTTTCAATTTAGAATTCTGAGATTCACCAAAAAATACTGGATTTCTCTCATTTCTCATTCAATGAAAATTCGATTGACTATCATTACAGGAAGACATTAATGCATTAGTAAGTATTAGATAAATTTCAAACACAAAATGCTTTTTTTTTATATTATCATTGTTTTTATATCCATTAACACCAACCTTTACGAGCATATTGCTGTGATGTTACTTTAAAATTTATTTTGTGTTTGTATTCAACCTATTTGGTTTACTTCTCCCCTTGTTTTAATTGATTTGTTATATATTTATGTATTATTATTACTGGTTTTTCATATATTTTAGCAATTTGATTATTAGATGGTATTAAAAAAGAAACTTTACTATTTTTTTAAATCCATATTGTTGTGTGCGTATGGGTTCGTGATAAATTGAACGAACACAGAACCAATGATAGCCTAATAAAATATATTTAAAAAAAAAAACACACTTCAACAGTTCTGGAACTTTCTACAAAAATACTCATATACCTTTTCACAGTATTGCAGAGTATAATTAGTAGTTGCACTTCAAGCTACTAAGAACGTTAAACACAATGCAATGCAAAGCGCATCTAAAGAGCAAAGCTAACATGGAGCTATCTCAATACTCCAACATTCATGCGAGCTAAACAGTTACTACTCAAAAACTAATGCTCTTCTCAGTCTTATATAGTTTACCCCTGCTGCTGAGAGATCTCTTGTGCCTTCCATTTCTCGAAATTATTGGAAAGGATACGAGGGACAAATACAGTTACATAGAGAATAAACTGCAGTTATTCAGTTACAGTTATACAGGTACCAGACCAAAATGTTGCCAAGTTGGCGACCGATATAAAAGCAATAATTGAATTCTTCATATGTATTACAGTATGAAGTCCTTAATCTGGACGTCCATTATCCGGAATAATCTATAATCCGGACCACAAAGCCACAAACTTTTTTTTAATTTGTATGCTTTACGCATGCGTGATTAATGTGCACTTCCAATATGTATGCGCGCTTCCGAAGAAAGTGACAGAGAGGTTATTGAAAACGTAGGTTTTTCCGATGCAGCAATTACAGGACATGAACAGTGGAACTTTCAAGATAGAACAAGAAATTATGTCTGTTTATAGAATTAAAGACAAAGTACAGTCAAAAGTCGTTAATTCGGACACCCATAATCCAGAATGATTTATAATCCGGACCTCAAAGCTACAAACTTTCTGCGCATGCATCACGTTGACGCATGCGCGTAAGACCTTTATGGCTGCGAATATGCATGTGCACGTGCACAAAATACGTTTACGAATGTGCATTTAATGTATAATGAACGGTATAAGTTAAGCTAAAATTATCTAATTCAGTTTTTTCAGTTAATGTTGCAGATTGCGTTGTTCCTTAATTCTTCGAATTGGATCCGGCTTATTATTTTTTTGCAGACTGTTAGAGCAATTTTATAAAAGTAAGCTTGAACTTTCGATTATGTGAAATAGAATTTCTGATATATATTTATTAATATGTAAAGGATCTACAAAGCGAAAGTATGTTTTCGAAGTCCATTAAACAAAAAGTGGAATTGCTGCAAAAAATGGATAAAGGCATAATTTATCTAAACTTTAACGTTTATCTTTAACGCCGCGGCGCGCAATGAATTGGAAGTTGATCTGTCAGCACTATCCTTATCTTCAGGGCAGATGTTTTTATTTTATTTGGCTTATAATTCCTTACTTAAATGTAGTATTTCATCTCGATGTACTCCGTCTTTGATATGATTTAAATCAAATTCCTCGTCATTATAATTCGCTTCCGATAGCGAAGAAAGTGACAGAGGTTATTGAAAACGAAAAAATTTCGATTGACAAATTAGTCGGTATTCTCGACACAGCAATTATAGGACTTGAACAGCGGAACTTTGTAACTGAACAAGAAATTATGTCTGTTTATAGAATTAAAGAGAATGTATTATCACATAAAAAACGAAGCAACTTAAACAACTTACATTGAAAGAAATGTTTAATAAAGTAAACAAATAAATATTAAGCTTTTTTTTTTTTGTAAATTTTGATACCCTTTAGATCATAATTGTTCTTTATTTCATAAATTACGGTTTCATATTTTTAATTTTATAATTTCTGCATGCCATCTTACCAGATTTAAATTGATGATCGATAATCCGAAGTCCCGACGAGTCCGGATTAACGACTTTTGGCTGTATTAGCTCAAAAAACGAAGCAATATAAACAACTTACATTGAAGGAAATGTTTAATAAAGTAAACAAATAAATATTAAACTTCTTCTTCTTCTTCTTTTTTTTTTTTTTTTTTTTTTTTAATTTTGATACCTTTTAGATCATAATTGCTCTTTATTTCATAAATTAAAGTTTCATATTTTTAATTGTATAATTTCTGCATGCCATCTTACCAGATTTAAATTGATGATCTATAATCCGAAAAAAACCCTAATACGAAATCGCGGAAGTCCTGACGAGTCCAGATTACGGACTTTGTACTGTATTATTAATTAGTAACTGGGTGCAGGAAATTGCAGTAGCTGGTCTCAATAAAATAATTTTATATTTAGGTTTTTTATAGCTATTTTAGGTATCTCACTCCACAAATGGCTAGTACGTAAAGTAAGAACAAGATATAATGGAATCTAATTTTATATAGTTGAGAATTATATATACAAAGTGTGTTTCAATATTTTTGTAATTAATTCTCTGCATTATGATTAATATTCAAATATAATAGGGTTTTTCCCCCCTCATTTTTATCTAGGGGCCCTCTTTCTAAATCCTTAATCCATACAGATTTCCAAAATAAGAGGGTCCTTAATTTATCCAGTATTTTTAGATGTGCATTTAGAAAGTACTCTTTTCATCACTTGGAAGACATATTAGATGAAGTTGGTTGTCAAATAATTCTCCCATTGATGTGTCAAAATCATCTGTAGTGCTATCAAAGAGAACTTTATTATTGAAAATAATAAAAAAAAAAAAAAAAAAAAAAAAAAAAAAAAAAAACTTAACAAATACTTTCAAATATTTTAAACAAGGCCATGTTAATATTGTTGTAATTATTTTAATTCTTTTTATTGCATTTTTTATCTTTCGTATTATTGTAATATTCTGTATTGTTTTTCAATGGTATTTTTATGGTTTATTTATTTTTTTTTTAATGTAATTTGGGGCCACATGCTTTGTATTTAAGTGTTTATTTATCACATAGAGTTATAAATCTTCTAATTCTGTTTGTAACAAAGCTGTGAAAATAGCTGAATTAGAACTTGAGAAACGGACAGTTTCATTCTTGAGCTGCCTTAGTGGCATTTGGCGATTTCTCAGCAACTTTCTGGAAGATATTTGAAAACACATTTTCGAAACCTTATATTTGATTCTTCTGGACATTTCCAGACCCTGTGCGCTGCAGAGTATAAATACAAGTCGAAGAATTGGGGAGTGCAGTTGTGAAACAGTTGCGAATCACTTAGTGGTTAGCTGAACTACGAGTTATAGTTTACTCTGAGAATGATATGAGGAATTTTATGATTTATTTTATGTGTTAAGGAGGAAGTGCTAAATATCTGTGTTCTCCTTGAGTTATTTCTAGCCATTATTATGCTGTGTGTACTAATTGTTGTGCCTATTTGCCTTATAAATTGTTCATTTCTTCTTGCTTGTCTGGACATATTATTCAAAGAAAGATAAGGGATCTTGTAGTTTGCAACAATGCAATATGAGAAAGTGTGTCACTTCTCTAATTTGAAGTGTAAATCTGGTGAATGCACTAATTCAAAATACATGGTGCACAATCTAAGTAAATATGCTGCAAAAGCATCTTCATCTCTAAAATTTAAAATTGATCATCAAATAGGTAAAAATGTATTCTACAAATTTATCAATTAAAAATGTAGAAAACTCATTTCATAAAATTAATGGAGATGTTAAGCCTCCAACCAAAAATGTCTTGAAAGATATAATAAATGAAATATATTAGTAACAAGTAAAGAAATGGAGTAATGTTTTAATTAATCAAATAATATTACTGATGCTAGATGGTTGATTTAAGCATTTGCATTGCTGCCTAGTGTCTCATATAGTGAACTGATAACATCAGTACTCTAATATTTACAAGTGTACATATAATATAAAAAAATTATTGCTGGAATAAAACAAAATATTTATTCCGTAGTTACATCATAAAACAAGTTTTAAACCTTTAACAAAATGAAAATTTTGTTTTTTATAATTTGTGATATTTTTGAAAATTATCACTCTTATGCATGCGGAGTTTTCCAGGGCAATTATCACAAAATTCACTAGTTTCAGTTCAGTTTCCTTTTAACAAATATGTTAAAAGGAAAACTTACTCGAACAAATGTGTTCAAGTAAACAGAGCAAGTATGTCACCACAGCAGCAACAGTAAAATTCATACTTTAAATGTCACATTATTGGTGACAATGAAAAGGGTTACAATGACGTGATATCCAACAATCAACCAATAGTCTCTGTGTGTATGGACTTTTCTGAGGCAGGCTGTCTACTTCATCAGTTGGAATCCCAGTGAATGATGTGATCGAGTTTATCTCCTTTTATTGCTGTTCTGTCTAACATTGCTTCACATAAGGTTGCTGTAGTGTTAAGGAATATTCTTTGATATCGCCAAGAGATGGCGTTAGGAGTCCATCTACTGGCTTACTTAACCTTTCCCCTTCTGAACACGTGACTTGAAAAAATATCCTTCTTCTTGAAGGTAGAATTTCGATGCACTACGCAATAGAATTCGATTTAGATTTTAGCTGGAACTATTCAGTTCTTGCCTTTTGAGCATTAAATATTCGATTCAGGCATTTTAGCCTACATTGTATATATGTAAATATTAAGTTTAATTAAAATTTATGGAAAACCCTCCAGGCCATGCATCTCGTCTTTTGGATTATGAGTGATTCGACTTTGATCTAGAACTTTCGATACATAATGGTGCATCGGCCCCAGAAAAGAATCTGATTAATTTGAAAATTTGTGTTTTTCGCCTTTTGGATTAGCTTTGTAAGTGAAGACTTCTCACGGTAAGTCTCCTTTGATAATTTATTAAAAGGGAACA